TTCATAAAGAAATAGGTCGAAAAGCAAAATGTATAAGCACACATGGGTGTGGCTGGTAACTTGTGCACCCAGCTTTATAACTGCAGTCATCTGAAATGCTGTGACGGGGAATATCAGCAGTCCTGTGGCAGAGAGATAAGAGACAGGTCTGGCCACTTGCTGACTCTGAAAACTTCTGTTAAAAAGTCCCTCCCACCCACATTCCACTGGTCAAAGCCAGACCCAAGTCCCAGCCTGCTTGGTGGGGTGTGTAGCGGCAAAGGGAAAAGTTCCCCTTCACCCTCTGAAGGTTCACTGAAAAATCAACTCCCAAGAGGCAGATTAACTCGACAAAAGGCATACAGATTTATTTAATGTGTACACAAGAGCCTTCAGAATGAAGACCCAAAGATACAGGGGAAATTGTCCATTTTTATGTTTAGGTTGAACAAAGTATGGACAGTTATGTAGAAATATGATCGTACAGAAGAGTATGATCAAATGCTAATAGACTGAGTGGGGAAACCCAGCAAGACTGTCTGTCTAGATTCTTTTTGGCCTTTCTGTGCAGCATTTCTTCTTTCTAGTGTGGAGCAGGACTCTCTCTGAAATGAGGGTCTTATGACCTAAAGTAAAACAAGATAAGTCAGATACTTTCTTTCTTTCTTTTTCTTAATTTTTTTTTTGAGAGATGGGGGTCTCACTACATTGTCCAGGCTTATCTTGGACTCAGGCTCAAGGGATCCTCCCTACTAAGCCTCCCAAGTAGCTGGGATTACAGGTGCTCACTCCACCACACCTGGCTGATAATTTCTTTATGGCCAGTTTTTACACAGAAAGGCGGAGGGAAAGTTAGAGTAGTATTTTTAGGTTTTACGGCTGGCTTTGGGGAAAAGGGGTTCTGGTTTCTATGACCCATCTTGGGGAAGAGGGATTCTATTATAGTTTCTATGGCTAGCCTCGGGGGAGAAGGGCAAGAGAAGGTCAGAGAAAAACCTTTGCTTCTGAGGCTGCTTCGGAGGCCTTCGTTGTGAGGAATTGTTTTCTGAGTGCCTACAGTGGGGAAGTGACAACCTCTCAACAGGGAAGTCAGCAAATATTGTGAGTGATAATACCAGCCACCCGGAAATTTTTGTTTTGCTTTGCTTTCCTTGTTTTTTGTTTTCCCCACCAACATACACTCTCCAACTTCCTTCTCTCTCTCTCTCAATGACCAGTCCATGGTTTCACAGTCTTTACTGTAAGAAAATGTTTTCTTCCATCTGACCCATTGATTTCCTCCTGCTTGGAGCTTCATGCCAAGATTGTCCACCAGGTGGAGGCGTGTACCATCTTCACTGCTCCCAACGCGGCCCCGCATTCTAGGAATCCTCTCGCACTGGGCTCCTTCGCACCCCTTGGCCTCTGCCCAGCCAGCTTTCTCTCCATTTCTCCCGCTCTCATCCCCTTTGGCTAGTTCGGCTGAGACATCTAGTCTGGAGAATTTAGCTCACTGCCACCCCTGAGCTGCCTGGGGGAGAGGTGGGGCACTTTCTGTCTCCTGCCTCACATCCTCTTGGCCTCAGCTCGGGTCCAGCCAGGGCTCCGGCAAATAGTTCACGCAAGCTTGGACCAGATTCACGCATCCCTCACTTCCTGCCCTGCTCCCATGGGGCAGCCCACAGCGAACGGGAGGCAGGAACCTGGGGATAAATGCTTCTCCCATTGGTCCCTTGGGCAGACAGTTATGATACAGTTTCTAGATGGATCCCTGGGAGATCCCTTTGGGTAAAGCCTCAGTTGCCCTCAGCGTGGCCACCTCTGTAAAGGCCCCCTTGTTCTAGCTTTTCTCTCCTTCACTTCCTCAGTCCCTCCCTCTGCTCCCTGGATCCACTTCCCCAAATAATCCATATGTTCCACAGTCCTGGGTCCAAGGCCCTGATTTCAGTTAGGACCATGAGGCCCCGCTCTGGGCGCCCACAGCCCTGTGTCTTCCACTATCACTGCCCTGGTCATATCCTCGTGTCCCTTGGTGCTTTCATGCTTGTCCCTTTGGCCCACATGAGCTTCTCGAGGCAGGAACTGGGCCTGATCCCCTGCTGTACCCGTAGCACAGGGCCTGGCCCTGAGGATGTGTTCGACTCGTGCTGGGGGCTCAGTGACGAATGAATGAAGAATTGAATAAGGCTTTGTGATTAACCTTGTCTTCTATGCACTAAACAGTCTCTTGCTCTGTGCCTACTGTGAGCTCAGTTTTCTCATCTGTCAAATGGGCATGCCACTTGTCCTCTTTGGGCTTTGGTTTCAAAGCAAACACTGAGGCAATGCACCTGGCCATCTGCAGGGGTCCACCCTGGGCAGGGGGCTATGAGCACTGGGGTCAGGGGAGTCCCCGTTTCTTGGTCCAGTTCTCAGCTAGACCCATTTCCTGATGGGCACAGCACTCTGAGCCTCGTTACACACATCCTCTGCAACTCCGAGTCTTGCGATGTCTATAACTCACATTCCACATAGAAAGCCTTTCTGGAGCACCTGGGGTGGGCTAGGTGGGCCAGCACCAGGCATACAAGAGGAAGGAGCCCCAGACTTGGCCTTGAGGAATTCACATCCAAGTGGGGAGACAGTTACTCCAGGAGGGTGGCAGACAAGGAACTGGAGCTGCAGACGCTCACAGGAGGCAGAGAGAGGTTTGGCGCCGGGTAGAAATTAGTTAGAATCGCGGTTCCTCTACTTCTTGGCTCTTAGCTTCTCTGCCCCTCAGTATCTTCTTGTGAAAGGGACTGCCAGGGGCCCAAGGTTGTGATAAGATGGTGCGCCTGCTGCTGCTGGTGCCAGAATAGCATGACATGACATCACCTTTGTTGTCATCGTCTTTACTAGAGATAGGAGGAGGGGTCTAGGGTCCCACTCTCAGAAGTAGTTATGAGGTGAAATCAACAGAAATTGGTGACTATTTGGGTAGTACCGGCACTAGGGACAAAAAGGGAAGAGATATTGTGGCCTGTGATTGTCATCTCTGTTCACTACTGGCACACATCGTGTCTGCCTTCCTGGCTCACACCGTCCCTGGGAGGCGGCCTCCTTACCCTTGCACAGATGAGAAGCATCAAGCCAAAGGGTGTGGGATGCCCGGCATGCTCTGGCACAGTTGTGGCCTCTCTGTCCTCCCCTTCCCAGCCCCATCTTTCACCAGAACCCACTGTGACCTTGGGCAAAGCTGTGGCTGCCTCAGTTTCCCCACTATGGCGATGGTGGTGGGATTGTAGAGCTGATTTCAAGGGGTGTCAGGAGTGCAAAGTGACCTACATTTACACAGTTAAGGTAAACTCAGCACTACCCCATCCCCAAGTCTCCTGCTCTTTTTGGGGTGGCCAGGTGGGCACCCGGAAGGGGCTGCGGGGAACCGTAACATCGACAGAGCGCCCTCGCGCTCATGTACGCCAAGGAGACACCAGGAAGCCTGACGCCCTCCTGGCCCCAGCGCCCCAGCTGGCATCTCGAGCCCATCGGGTGACCAAGATGCAGAGGTGGGGACGGGACGGACCGCGCGACCTCAGGTGCCCGCCTCTGCCTGGCTCCGCCTGCGCGAAGGTGAGGCCGGGGGCGGGGCCGGGCGCAGCGGCCCGGGTTGGGGGCAGCGGGCTGGGTGACTACCCTGGTCGCCCGCCCGACGGTCCCCGCAGCTGCCACCCTCCGACGGGGCGCTACCTCTGTGCCCGCCAATCATGCTGCTGCTGCTGCTGCTGCTGCTGCTGCGGCTTCTGCTGCTGGGACCTGGACCCGGACCCGGCGCCGGTGAGTGAGGAACCGCCTGCGGGGACCAGGAGCTCCCGGGACTCCGCCAGCCCTCCCTAGGGACCCAGGAGCCCTGCAGCCCCCAGTCCCCTCTTCTAACACCCACCCACTCATCCTCGCTGGGAGCCCAGGAGCCCTGGACCCCAGTCGCCCCCAGGGACCCCAATCACTCGCTCCTCTCGGGGACTCAGAACCAGCCCCGCCCTTCTACAGGGGCTCTGAGTCCTCTGCAGACCCCCTCCCCCAACCGCCGTCACTCTCTCCAGCAACCGGGAGCCCTCCCTACCAACCTGGTCTGGGCTCCTGTGCACTGACCCTTCACTCCACCTGTATGGGGGTCTGAGGTGGGACCACCCAGTGAACACCAGAGGGCGAGAGGAGCTTGCCGAAGGGGCCCGGCTTGGGGGAGGGAGAACATAGTGTCCCCTTCTCACCCACCCCTGGGGGCCACCCTCGGAGAGGTCCCCTTGGTGACTTCCCACTTCTGGAGTGCACAGATACACACGCTCACAGGGAAGTGTGCAGACCCTGCAAACATGGAAAGCGTAGCCTCAAAACCAGCCCTAGACTCACCTGGGCACTCAGGTGCACGGCTCATGGTGTACGCGGCCCCCACAGAGCCATGCTGCAGACACAAGCGGATACCCCAAAGGGACACGTGCACACGCCACTCCAGGAAAGCTGAGACAGCCCCAGAGAGTTAGATGCACGGCGGACACACACATAGACCCCGGGCCCATAGGATGCCCCGGCAGCCCTGGCACTCCCAGAGGAGGCTACCGTGTTCAGAGCAAACAGACCCAGCGTGACCTGCCCCACCTATGTTGGCACAGAGGGAGTGTTTTCCTCGGTTCTAAACTCAGTGCCTGGTGGCCGCCCCGTGCCTGGGCCCTCCATGGGGCTGTTCCTAGGCCTCTGAGATACCGGAGAGTGCTTAGGTCAGGGCAAGGGGGGACCTCTGGGGACAGCTTCAGGGTATGAAGTTAGGACTGGGGCCTTGTGAGGGGGCGCTTACAGTGGGAGCGTTCCATGGGGCTTGGTGGATCCAGAGGTCAAGAGACCTTTTCTGGAAGCTCACTGTGTGCCGGGACATCCAGAGCCGCCCGAGTCGGAGATCTGCTCTCGGAGCCTGCGGGGCTGGAGGCTGCTCCCACAGGCAGACAGCAGTGCTGTATGGGGAGGGTCCCTGTGGCCACCTGGGGGGAAGGGCAGACTCTGGAAGGAGGTGGCCTGTGAGCAGGGTGACGGGCGGGTGAGGGCATTTTCGGCAGAGTGTGTAGGTGACAGGGCATAACTGGGGGGGGACATTGGAGAGTTTGGAGGGGTTGACTCCCACCAGGCCTTGGGACACAGTGAGGCCCCTGAGCTTGTCCAGACTCGGGGGAGCCCCAGAAGGTTTGAGGCAGAGGCGCAGGAGAGTGAGGACTGGTCACCAGAGAGGAAGGTGAAGCTTTGAACTCTAAACTCATTTTCACATTTTCTTGCTATTTGCTTTGTCTCTGTTCCCCCGTACTGATACGCTGCTTTTCGATTGAAGAAAAAAAAAACAAAATTGAATTTAAACTTGGTCTGGACGCCTCAAAAAGTCACTGTGATGAAAACATGTTCTAGACAAAAAAGAGATGAAAGAGATGAGATGACCAAATGCAGCGCCCAGACCATCACTGGGCCCTCAGCTGCTGGGCTGTGGAGAGGAGACTCCCAGGAAGCAGGCGGGCCTGGGAGTGAGGTTCTGCTCTGCCGCCAAGGCCCCTCGCTCTGTCACCCTGAAAGGCCACCTTCCCCTGCTGGTACCGTGCTAGGAGGGAGGAGCGCTGGTTTGCGAGTCAGAGCCTGGACAGGAGCCTCAGCTCAGGCTCTTGTTGGCTGTGCGAGTTTGGGAGGCACCTTTCCCAGCTGGTCTCCTTCTCACCTGTCTGGAGCAGGGGTTCCAGTCGGGCTGTTGGGCACCGCTGTGTGTTGGAGCTGCCCCGGGAACCAGGGAGAGGGCTGGACTCAGGCCAAGGGGCCTCCTTGTCTGGGCAGTGCAAATAAGAGGAGATGCAAAGGTCCTGAGCCAGGGTCTGGAGGAGAATGGTGGGGCCCAGGGGAGCCCCAGGACTAGGAAACCCCCCAGAGGAGCCCTCCTTGGTGACGGAGACCCTCCTTAGCTCATCTGTGATGCCCGGTGCCCAGAACAGGCAACTGGACAAACATCTGATGCATGACTTGCAATCTGACTGCCTGTGGAGTTGACATGACAGGGGATTGGGAACTGGGGCATGGCAGGAAGGGGGACCAGCCCGTGCAAAGGCTGTGATTCTATCTTTTTTTTTTTCATGGCTGCCTTGAGGATATCGATTATAATAGTTAGTCCTTGTCATAGGCGAGGTGCTTTTCATGCACTGTTCACTTCTTTCTATGAGTTGAGGTCACCTTACCCTCCCATTTCCCAGACAAAGAAACCAAGGCACAGAGAGGTTGGAATTTGTCCAAAGTCACGCAGCTAGGAAGTAAGATTCAAACCCAGACAGTCCAGCTGCAACATCCAGGCAATTTTCAGGCTCCTGCCCTTCTCTCCAGACCCGCAGCCTCTGACCTTTGTTTACCACCACCACACCCCAGCCTCCAGGAGGTCACATGTGCACCGGCGTGGGATCCTGGAACTGGCGGCGACTGTGAATTGTGTTGGCACCCGAACCCCCATCGCTTACATGAACTATGGCTGCCATTGTGGCCTGGGTGGCCATGGCCAGCCCCGGGATGCCATTGATTGGTGAGTGCATGCTTGGGCCCGGGCTAGAAGGTCCTCCAGCCCTAGGGATAGTCAAGACCTGCAAGGAAATATCCAAAACTGAAGCTGGGGTTTGGCCCAGGAAGGTCCCATCACGTGGTGCTCCCCTGCAGGCAGAGGACCTGTGTGTAACATGGGCCAATGAGGCCACATCTTGGTGCCAGCTGACCTTTACCCTAGCAATGGGCTGATTGATTACGTTGCCTTAAAGATAACGTAAAGGTAACCAGACTTATTAAGCACTAGGAACTGCTCTGAGAATCCCTTTGAATCCTCACAATAACCCCATTTCACAGACGAAGAAACTGAGGCATAGAAAGGTTAAGTAACTTGTCTGGGGCCACGCAGCGAGGAAGGCGTGGGAGCTGGTATTTGAACCCAGGTAGTCTGGCTGGATTCATGCCCCCCAACCTGGGCACTCTTGCTGCTGTGTGAGAAGTGTCCGACCTGCGCAATGCCATGGGCCGAGCAGCCCTGAGGCTCAGAGAGGCGCAGACACTCACCCATTTCCACAATGCTCATAGATAGCAGAGGGCAGAATTTGGCTGTTTCTCCCCTAGGCTGGAGGCTATGATTGTCACCGAGAGGTCTTTATTTACCCCTGCATCTTGGATGCTTCTGCTGCCCTCCATGCGCTCCTGCACTCTGGCCATCCGGTTCCTGTATGTCCTTTAGATGTGCTCACCCCTCCAGGAAGCCTTCCCTGAAGCCTGGCTGGGCCTGCCACTCTATCTGGGCTCCCAGGGTCCCCAGGGCTTATGCCGCATCCCAGCACTTCTCACCATGCATGTGTGTGGGGGCTGTTTGCCTGCCCTACCACACAGGGGGCTCCTCGAAATGCTGGCCTTTCCGCAATGCACCTCGCTGACGGATTGGCTGACAGGTGGACAGAGAGAATACCGGTGAATGAATGAATGAGTAAGGGAGTGAATGAATGATTGACAGGTATAGGGGCGTTTGTGAGTCTTCCTTAGGGAATTGTTCAATAGTAGATGTTTACTGAGGTCCTATTATGGGCTGGGCCTTGGGCCACTGTGGGGAACTGAACAGACATGGTCCTGCCCTACAGAGCTCCAGTTATAGATGCTAATGGGTTTTTAATGAGGGTTCCATTATACACCTGCCCTAAGGGAAAGGAACTGGCTTTATGAGGGGGTGTACCTGGGGAGGTCAGGTGAGGCCTATATGACATCCCAGCGTGGGGGCTGGTGCTTGGGCTGAGACCTAAAGGACAGGAGTGGGCATGAAGTCGTCCTAGGCAGAGGGTACAACATGAGCAATGCCAGGAGGTGGCAGGGGCTTGGCTTACTCCGGGAACAGAGAGGAGGCTAGTGGAGCTGGAGCTCAGAGCCCAGGAGCTCCGAGACTCAGAGTGAGACAGGCAGGCCCCGGGCTCGGGCACTGCCAGGGGCCGGAGGTGGTTGTGGGGTATGCTGGGGCCAGTGCATGGGGCTTTTCAGGGACAACGCGTAGACCTGAGGATGCTGGCTCCTTGAGGGTCTTCACTCACCCATAATACTGGCAAGGGAGGGTGGCCAGGAGAGCTCCCTGCCTTCACCCACCTGCTGGTCGGCCCGTGTGACATCCACAGGTGCTGCCGTCGTCACGACTGCTGTTACAATCGTGCTGAAGAGGCTGGCTGCAGTCCCAAGATAGAGCGCTACTCCTGGCAGTGCGTCAATGACAGCATCCTGTGCGGTGAGTTCCCGGTGCCACATGCACCAACCTCCCCCAGTGTCCCCTGGGCATCCCAGCAGAGCCGGATGACTTCTGTGTCCTGTTGCACTAACATACCACTGCTTGCAACGCTCCGTAGACCACGCTTGGGTTTATCTAATATAAGTGATCTTTAACACAGAGCACTTGAAAAAAAAAGAAAAAGAAAGAAACCTATTTCTTGTATGTCTGGGGAAAAAAGGAAGAAAACAGAAATGACACCAGGTATAAACAACCTGAATGTGTGTCAGAAGGGGTCTGAGTAAATAAAACATGATGTATTCTCACTCTGTAGCCTGGAGGGAGGCTACAAGGTAGAGCCGTATATGCTGACACAGAAAGAAGGTGAATAAAAAAACTGCAGAATGACTTTTCTAGTACAGCACCATTTGTGTGTTTAAAAAAAGGAAAAGAAGAGAAACTTGCAAAATAATACCATACTGCTTTCCATGGCTACATGTGGGCATCCACAAAGCTCAGAAAAAGCCGGGTAAGGATACGCTCCAAACTGAGGATGGCTGTGGTCATCTCCAGGGACAAGATCAGGTTGAGGGGGCAACGGTACGAGGCAACTTCATGTTCCCTGTGTGTGTCTGTTATTTACAAGGAGAATGTCTTCATGAATGACTTGTGAATTAAAAGTGTAAAAGGAAAGGAATGCACAGCCTGAAGTGTTTAAGAGTGACACGCACTGATGTCTGCAACTTACTTTGAAGTGCATCAGAACAAAACAAAACAAAAAGGCAGATGGATGGATAGAGAGAGGGATGGACTGATGGAGGGATAAGGGAGGAAGCTGAATATTAATCTGTGTAATGAATATACAGGTGTTCTCTGAAAAGTTTCTTTAAACCTCTCTGTATTTTTGGAAATTTTCACGATGAAATGTGACAAGCAAAAAAACAAATGAAAAGAAAGAGGATGAAGGAGGGCTCCATGCCTCCACTTCCTCACCTCCAGCCACCGTCTAGGAGCCTGTCACCAGTGGGGCTGGCTCCACCTCGGTGTGGTGTGATGACCCTCTGGCCCCAAATATTCTGTGCGAGGAGGGTCAGAGGCCTTGGTTGGGTCCCATCCTAGTGGATAGAGGCGTGTAGAACCCAGACTGAGCCTGAACCCCGAGTGTGCATTTCCTTGGCCCCTTTTCCTAACTAAGGCTGAGCCAGGCAAGAGTGGCCTCTTCCCAGTTGGGGACTCCAGAAAATGCCCTTCCCTCCCTGGGACACAGAGCCTTCACCTCTGCAAAATAGGGACAACCGTGTTATATCAGGAGTTAATGTTCCTTGGACCATGTTGGTCCTGCAAATGTTTTGCTTCATCTGCATGGTGTTTGGAAAAGCAGTTTGAGCCAGTATTTGACAAATCAAAATATTTCACATAAAAATCTGAACTTCTCAATGTTTAGTTTTCCTTAAAAAATTGGAGGCTCTAACAGCATCAGACTCAGTAGCCACCATTGGCTGGAGCTTAGAGGAGCTGCCACTCACAGGCAGGGCCTGTCTCTCATCTGCCCCAGTCCCCACTATGCCCTATTTTCTGCCTGACATTGAGGACAAGTGTCAATTACTATATTTCATATTCCTTGTGCTGTTGATTTTGTTATAAAAGAGAAATATTTCTAACAAACCCAGGAAAACAGAAGGTAGACCAAAGGGCTGAATGTTTCGAGAAAAATGAGAGTGCTGAGCCCATTTACTTGTGCAAATGCAGAGTATTCCTGTGTTTGACGTACCTCCCTTGCTTCACTCGTTGACACCGCCTGCCCCAGTGGACATCTGCATTTGCAAACCCTCGCCTGGTGATCCGTAGCTTCTGCCTTAGTTCATTTCTAGTTGTGTGACCGTGGGCAAGTTCTGATCTCTCAGAGCCTCAGTTTCCTCATCAGTAAAATGGGGGTAAAAATCAAGGTCACCTTGTTATGAGGACGAAATGACAATGACACAATGCTTCATGCATAGTAGGCGTCATGGGAGAAATGACCCAACGCAGATTCTCCAGTGAGGATGACCCAGCAACAGCCCATGGTCACAGGGCTTTGAGGAATGCGCGAATGCAGCTCTAACTAACCCTGAGCCTCAAAAGCAGAAAGTTATTTCTCTTGCAATTCTTTTTTAATCTTTCTAATTGCGTGGAGGAGAAAGTCTCAGTTCGGTGCTACTAATTTAGCTTTAACATCTCTTGAACACTTGCTGACCTCTTTCTAACAGAGAGAGCAGGCTTCTGGCTTCTCTTATTTAAGAACAGTTCTATACCTACATTTAATTCTGGTTTTAAAAAGAAATTATTTGTATCTGTCTACCTACCTATATGTTTATTTATCTGTAACCACAAGCAACATGTATTAATTGTCACACAAGCCTTTCTTCCATCACAGTTTACATTTTACAGAACCAGCCCACTTCTAAAGTTAAAAGAAAAATAAAACTACAATTAAACATGTTGTGTCTCTCAGGGCAATCTTACCTGATTTTGAAACAAAGCAATAAGGAAAGGGGTGATGAGGAGAATGTATTTTTAAGATGACTGTCTGATGTTTGGTGTTTTCCGTTTGCGGTTTCCCTGCAAGTAAATAAAAAAGCTGAATCAATTTACAAACTAGGAAGTGAGCAGTAGTACAGGCAGAATGTAGGTAAGGCTGGAGTTTGGACGATGAGACTCGAAGTTATCTGAAGGCCTGGACGTGACCCAGACGACTGGCTCCATCCCTTTTATTTCTATTTTCTTTTAATTGAAAATAAATATAACATAAAAACCATTTTAAAATATACAATTCAGTGATATTTAGTATATTCACAGTGTCATGCAAGAACCACCAAAACATTTTCATCATTTCCCCTCAAAAAACCCATGCCTGCTAAGCCTGTCCACGTCTTCCTAACACCAGCACCGGGCAAATTTACCAGTTTGCTTTCTGTCTCTATGAATGTACCTCATCTCGATATTTCGTATAAATGGAATCATGCAATATCTGTTTTTTGTGTGTCTGGCTCTTGCACTTAGCATAATGTTTTCGAGCTTCATTCCTTTTATGGCTGAATAATATCCACTGTGTGGCTATATCACATTTTATTTATTCATTCATCCAGTGATGGACATTTGGGTTGTTTCCACCTTTTGGCTGGTGTCAATAGTACAGCTATGAGTATTCGTGAACAAGAATTTATTTGAATACCTGTTTTCAATGCTTTGGAGCATGTACCTAGGATTGCTGGGTTATACACTAACTATGTTTTACTTTTCGAGGAACCACCAAACTGTTTTCCACAGCAGATGCACCATTTTATATTCTCACCAGCAATGAGTGAGGGATCCAGTTTCTCCACATCCATGCCAACGCTTATTATTTTCTAGTTTTTTTATTAGTGGGTATGAGGTGGTATCTCATTGTGGTTTTGATTTGCTTTTCCCTAGTGATTAATAACATTGAACATCTTTTCATGTGCTTCTTGGCCATTTTTATATTTTCTTTTTAGAAATGTCTATTCAAACCCATTTTTAATTGAGTTGTTTGTCATTTTGTTGTTGAGTTGTAAGAGTTCTTTATATATCCTGGATACTGGATCTGTATCAGATATGTGATGTGCAACTACTAATATTTTCTCCCATTCTGTAGGTAGTCTTTTTACTTCCTTGATAATATCCTTGAGGCACAAAGGTTTTCAATTTTGATGAAGTCCTATTTATTTGTTTTTTGTTGTTGTTGTTGCTTGGGTTTTTGGTGTCCTAAGAATCCATTGCCAAATCCAAGGTCATGAAGGTTTACCCCTATCTTTCCTTCTAACAGTTTTCTAATTTTAACTCTTATGTTCATTTTGAGATAACTTTTGCATATGGAGTGAGGTGGGGGGTTCGTTCTTTTGCATGTTGTTATCCAGTTGTCTCTGCACCATTTTTTGAAGAGACTATTTTCCCCCATTGAATAGTCTTGCTGCCTTTGTTGAAAATGACTTGGCCCTAGATGGACGAGGGTTCCATCGCGTTGAGCTAATGACTTGAGCTCTCTGAGCCTCGGTTTCCTCACCTGGAAGATGGGTGTTGTGAAGATGAGAAAAGGGTTTAACATGATAAACAGACTGGAGGGGGATTTTTCTTCTCTCTCTTCCCCTCTCCTTCTCTCATCCTGATCTGAACTCCTCTCTGACCTCTGCTACCTCCTCTAGAGAGAATTGAAGATCTGATGCGACTCTGCACTAAACCCCCAGCTTCTGCAGACTTGATCTGCTCTGGGGTAAGGAGGCTATCGTAAGTATTACTAGATGTATATTTTTAGGTATGTGTGGATTCTCAGCCGTAAGTCCTTACTACGAATTAGGAGTTGGCCTTGGAGCACAGATGAATTAATATGGAGACATAATATAGATATTTTAGGACTAAAAATGCCCCAGGTATTGTCTCATTCAGCCCTCTAATTTAGAGTTGGGGAGAGTAAGTAACTTATCCCTAAAATGCTCCCTTCCAGTGTGGCTGGAGAGGAGTCGAAATGGGCTTTTAAATGGGAAATTTGCTAAAGATGTTTCCCTTCTCCCTTCAACTTGCGTGTTCTATTTGTTTCTACCCATGTGAAAATGATGTTTATAAAATAGGCTGGTGGAGTCTATGCCTGTTTACAGAACTGTCCTCCCTGAACCAAACGAAAAGAACCAAAATACCTATTATGCATTTTTGGCTAAAAATATTCCCTTATTCTGTTTGCAGATATTCTGAACATAGTTGTTTATTTAATTACAGGTTTGGCCCATTTTCCATTTATGGGCCTCACTTAAATATATTAAAAAAATTTTTAACCTATAATAATATTTACTGGCAGGCCTTAATTTTAAGCTTAACCTTTGGGAGCTACTTTTCCTTTTAAGTTTTTATTCTTCTTGAAAAACGTGATGCCATCAGGGGTTCCTGAGGCCATGGAGCAGTGGGGCCTCCAGGTTTGTGTTTGGGTGGCAACCTTTGCCTGTGTACGCTAGGTCTAGGACAGAGGGGTGAGATGCAGTATGTGATTGTTATCTAAAATAAGCTGTTTTTCTTGAAAGAGCATCTGAAAGAGACTTGGAGAAAGGAGGCCAAGAAGTGCAGGTGGGAGCACTTTACAGGCTGCTCGATAACTCTGCAAAGTGGAGAGTGCTCCCACATTCCGTGAGGACTTGGGCCCCAAAAGGGTAGACGAGGTCCCAGAGCTCGGACATAGTAGAGCAGGCATTCCAAACCCAGGCAGCTACTGTCTTATCTAAATGGATCCCCAAACAGTGTCGTATTGATGCAGAAGAGAAGTCAAAGGTTCTACAGGCTTTGGACTCTGCCATTTGAAACTTTAATTTCCTTTTCTGTAAAATGGAGCTGACATCACCTGCCTCCTGGGGTTACTGTGCTGACGTAGATCACCTGGGAAATTGTCGAGTGTCTCAGAAATGTAATGTATGACCTGTCCTGCCTCCAGCTTTACTGACCTTCTCCATGTTTACCCTTGAGTCTCTGCAGGTCCCTACTCTAACCTCAGTTTCCCCACCTCTTCCAGGACCAGCAGAGAACAAATGCCAAGAACTCTTGTGCAAGTGTGACCAGGAGATTGCTTACTGTTTAGCCGGGACTGAGTACAACTTAAGACTTCTCTTCTACCCCCAGTTCCTATGTGAGAAGGACTCGCCCAAGTGTGACTGACCAGCTCCACTGCACATTCTTTCAAACAGGAAATAAAGTTCCTTCTTGAGAATGAACAACAGCATTCAGTTCTTTGCAGGAGGAGATGGAAGCCAACTGATAAAGCCACAACCCTTGTGTTTGCTTTCTCTCCCCATTCCGGAACTTGGAGCTGGAGTCTGTTTGGCTTCCAGTTTGATTAAGGTCAAAAGTCCCTATTAAATAGTAATAAAACCATGACTGTATTTATGACTGTGTTGGGTTTGGTACCATCTTTGAGGTTCAACCTTACGAAAAGTTGGTCTTTGTCTTCTAGCCTGCTCCTGCTGGCCGGTTGTCAAATGTGAACAAACACCTACTGTGTGTGGTCAGGTTCTAGGTCCTGGTTCACAGCACTAAACAAGATGGTGGTCACATGACACCCACCCTTGTGAAGTTCAAGTCTAGAAGCTGTTAGGTTAAGAAAGGGTATTCCCCATCCCACTCTACTTTCAATGGTTAAAGTTTATTTCCCGATTATGAAAGAAGTATATATTGATTGCTTTAAAGAAAAAAAAAAAAAGAAAAAGAGAGAAACATGGGGCAGAAAAAAAAAATCTCTCAATGCCCACAATCCAGAATAATACATTAGCACCTTAGTGTGCTGTCCAGCAGTTTTTTCTATAGTTTTAAAAATGTAGTTGAGATTATACTGTATGATTTTTGTAAGATTTTCTCCATGTCATTGAACATCTTCAGAAATTTTAAATAGATGTATCAGATTCCATTTTATAGAGTAATAACTTCTGGATAATGAAGATATTTCCTGTTTTTGTCAATTGCTGTGATGAAGATGCTTATAAATAAGTCTTTGCCACCTCCTACCTCTACAGCCTGTTTATTTATATTTCTTAGCCCAGATTTGCAGAAATGGCTGTTTTTGGATCAACAGGTCTGAGTATTTTAAATAGACACTGACACCCTCTTCTGGTGCACCTAAGCCTGCTATGAGATTGGTAGAGGGTCCGAGGGAGGCAAGAGGCAGCCTGTGGTCGTTGACTGGGGTGAGTGTGCCTGTCCCTCCTGCTGGCTGGAAGCAGCGCGAGTCCAGCCCAGCCTGTTTGCCATCAGCCAAGCCTCCCTTGCCCTTCTTCCCCAAGCAGACCTGGGTATATTACTCATCCTTGAAGCAGGGTGTGGGAGCAGGTAGGGACAGTGTGGGAGGCCACAGGTGGGGGTGGGCAGCACTGGTCTGGAGTCTGGCAGCCTGTGGGTGGCCCAGGCCCCACTCCGCCAATGACAACCATCACCACTGCCGTGACCTTTGCCAGCCAGCCTCCATCTCCTCATCCGGAAAGGAGGAGGACACTGGCAACCCCATAAGGCACAAGACCAGGATGTACAAACACCGCGGTGTCCCCAGACCCACAGTGCCATCAGTGTCTCTGGCAGGTCATGAGTATTAAATAGGTAAAGCCACGCAGCCATGGGGCCTGACAAGCAAACTCAAGGAGGAAGAAAAACATTCTCCCTCCTTTCTCTTCACATCCTTTAGGTGGCTCCGTGGCTCAACGCTTCCATCGGGCTGGGGGACTTGAGCATGGCTAGCAGATTATATTGGGCAACGCAGATTTTTTTTTTAAAACAATCAGTTTTTCTATATATAGAGGTTTTATTTGTATAAAAAAATCTTTATTTCAAGTAATTTCTTCACTTTCAGATGCAAAGCTTGAGTAAAATCTTCACTCAAAGATACAAAGGGTTAATGAATGGTTCATGGAGTCACAAAAGAACACTTTGGATGCAAGCTTATCTCTGGCCAGTCTCCAGAGAGATGACATCTCACACCTGCTGTTGTCACACTGGAAGGAAATGAAAGGCCATAGTTCATCTCGTGCCATAATCAAAATCACAGCACTTGGTGCAATTATACTTGCTGTTTCGTACATCAGGACAGGACAACAAAGATTATACAGTGTGAGGTCAATTTACAAAATGTTTCCTTGAACAAAAAAGACTATCCTGGAATTTATTTTACAGATTAAATTCTTAGAAACAAAACAAAACAAACCCTAAAACAAGTTTACGTAGCACTGAGGCAGCTGATGAGAATCAGCCCCAATGAACACCTCACACCCCACTCGTCTCCGTGCTCAGACACAGGGATCCGGACTTTCAGTGATTACAAACAAAAACAAAAAACAAAAAACCCCAGAGACCACAAGTCTAATCATCATTCTAGTCTCAAACTGAATCCTGTTAGAGGCTTTACTCCGAAACCTAGCAACTCTTCAATGAGACAGAATTGTTGATTGAATTTTGGGTTTTCCTCTGCACTTTTTATGTGAAACTGTCTATGCCTATGACGAAATTTTATCCTTGTTTTCCTAAACTTGACTTAGAGGACAGGCCTGGCCCCAACAAGCCTGGTCTCAGGCTCTGGGAGCCTCTGTCAGTTCCTGAGGTTGCGGCAGGGGGCTGCCGATGTGGTGGCCTTCCAATGTTGCCCATACCGCATCCTCTGGGGACCCTGAGTCTTGCCGGCTGTCGTGGACTAAGCCTCCGAAGTCCCTGTGAGGAAGTTGGCTGGGTGGAAGGGCTGCTCCTGGGTCGGCCAAATAGACTGTCCTCCCCACGCTGGGTTGTCAGTCCCGCTGCCATGTTGACACAGGCAGAGGGCGGGGAGGACCTGGTTGGAGCCTTTGACATACGAAGCAGCACCTTGCTTTGCTAGGGGTAGAAAGCGGGAAGTCCGCTCCCTGCCTCAGCCCTCCTAAGCATCAAAGCTCAGACGTCAGGGAGACTAGAAGAGTCTCTCAGAGCCTGGGCAGTGCCAGTCACAACACCTGAGTTTCCAGCCGTCGGACTTCCTTGACCACGAGATCAATGTTAATAATTGGGTTAAAGTACAGGGCCCAGTAAAACAGACAGTTGCAGACAAACTGAGGAATGAGGGGCCAGAACATGGCCACAAAAAGCCCCTGTGTTGATACTTTCCAGAAGTGGCTCCACATCCTCTGAGGCACAGTCCTGAAAAAGGAAGAGAAGCGGTTCAGAGGCAGAACTGGGGACACATTTCTAATGACGCTGCCCGAGCGCACAGACCCCGGGCCTTTTCCCACTGCCTCGACTGTGGCTGCCTGCGCTGCAAAGACCTTGTCTCTGCCCCCAGTGCCTGAGAAAGCTTTGCCTGACCAACCCATCTTCAACTCCGAGGACACAGCCCAGAGGGTCCCTCCTCAGGCACTATGGCCTGGTCCCCACGCCCAGTGAGGCCTCCCTGTTCCAGCCCCAACCTCACTTACACATCTTTTTTAACATACAGATTTTCTCTACTAGGCTACAGGCCCTCAGAGACTGTCTTTTTTACCGGAAGATCTGTAGTATCCAGCAGAGAGCTGGGGGTACAGTGATATGCCTGTTCTGTGCATGAACAGATGAGTTTGCTGAATCAATACGAATGAGAGAGAGAGGTTTGTCGGGTTCTCGGAACTATCTATGAGGCCGTGAGTCACTGGATGTCAAGAGGAAAGGCTGCTGGTGTGGTGGCAGTGTTACCTGCTCAGCCGCCATCCCCTTCTAGAAACAGCTTCTAAGTTTTCTTTTGAGGACTCTCCCTCCCTTATTCTTTTCCATGTGGTCCGGGTAGGGCCGAAGCCAGCCCCTGACTGTGGGGTGAGCCCAGGCCTCGAGCCTGGCCAAGAATAGCCTTGCACACGCCGGCATGGAGCAATGGATCTGGGGGGCACGTGACCCAGGCTGGGCCAATCAGGACAAAGGCATGTGAGGCCTGAGACCGTTACCAGTGCTATGGGGAAAGAAGTGCTTTCTTTCCACAAGGTTTGCTAAGCTGCTCAGATGGAAGCCTGGCAAGGCCAGAGCCCCCATATGAAGAGAGCTACCCGAGGCTGGACACAGGACAGAACAGCACTGTGCGAGGGAGAGAAAGAGTCGGTCCTAATGACAGCATTTGTGTCTCTAGGTCCAGCCACGCTGAAGCTTGACTAGGCATTTCCTTTTCAGTAAAACCGGTTTAGGTTGGTTTCTGTCACTTGCAACCAAGAGTCCTGAGTCAGAGATTGTCTAGTCTAATCGTGCTCATTTTATGCATTAATCAGAGAAGTTATTACTGTCCCAGATGGTGGCAGATCAGGATTAGAACTCATGACTACAGAATTCCCATCAGATCTCTTTATGCTCTGCCCTACTGCCATTTTCCATATAGAACCCTTTTCTTCTCACTTGCTTACTCCTTGATTATTAAAATCCTTTGTTGCCTGCCCCCCAAATTAAACTGTATATTATTACATAGAGATAAGATACAGAGAAACACTTTAACAATGAGCACCACGCAATGTTTCCCTTTTCAAACACAAGTAACTTTCCTATTCTCCGCTTAAGTGCTGTTTCTCAAACCAGAGACTGAGAAGTCTTGGTAGCCGAAGGATTTATTTCCTTCTCCAGTTTGAGAAATATTTCAAAGAGGACCGTTCCCCCACTAGGTATTTCTTTCCCAGCCCCTGTTGCTCCAACCATCTCCGACATAAAAACACACTTACTTCAGTTCGCTTCTTGACCAGATTCTCCAAAAGGAGAATAATTCCAGGACTGAGAGTAACATGGCATTGACGATGAGAAACCGTGACGTCCAGTAATGGACCTCCAGCCAGTCCCAAGCAAATTCAGCAATCAGCTGGTATGGAAGGAAGGAGTATTTGACAAGGAATTCTCTCCACTGCTTCCACGTGGGCTCCCTAAGATCCTTGAAAAAGAACACACAGACACAAAAAATAACGAGGACTGACTCTTACACAAGATGCTGTGATCATCCCAGTGAGTTTTACATTTATGAAAATACACACACATATATATATATATATCCAGCAATCTAAAATGAAATTTCCATCCATCATCTCATCTCATAAAAATTAATCTTAAATTGGATAACTGTTACTAAAAAAGTTTGAATTGGAATGCTTGCCACATAATGGTGGAAGCTCAGAAGCAAAAAAATCTAAGCATGAGGTATGAATAATGGGACTGGAATGAATTTAAATTAACCAGGGTTTTATTACTTATTATCTATTATTAACCATCACTGCATGGGTAGCTCAAGCCATTCCCTAAATTCAACATCTTAGCCGTGCTAGAACGATGACAGTTTGTGGGGAAATGGCACACACACACTCCCCTCGAAAAAAGTGATTTTTTTGTGGTGGTGGTGGGGGAAGCTTTTCAATTACAGATATTAGCAGATAAAAATGATAGCCTGATGAACGGCAGAGGCTTGGGGCTTGTTGAAATGGAAAGGTCAGAGTCTCTGTGCTCCCGGTCTGGCGAGGCAAGTAAGAACTGGAAACTAGGTGATTAGAGGCACACTGTGCAAGGGGCCAATTAGTAGGCTTTAAACCGCATTCAAGGCTGAAGTCAGTTAGGCAGATGTTTAACTATATTGTTTAAAAAAAGTCTTTGGAGATTTAGAAATTCCATTTTAATACTTATAGGTATGGATTATATATGAGATTCCTACATCCGTGTGACTTTTTGATACAAACAGGTCAGAAGGACTGGCCCCAAGAGTAGCAAAACAAAGGCTATTACGCTCAAATGACCTACTAGACACAGAGAAATCACCCCCAGTAAATGCGGTCCACCAACAACTCAGAAGGAATCCACAGGTCAAACTGGAGAAAGGCGCCCATGGTGGATAACCACCGTGCGAACAGCCCTGCGCCAGCTAACGAGCTGACTTCCATCGGACAGCTGGACAACGGAGGTACTAACCCTGCCTCAGCAGGACAAGCAATCGTGCTTTGGGAGTCCTGTTAAAAGACAGATTACCCAAACTGGAAGGCCCATAAATCTAACCCTTTAGGGCAATCCGGACCTATCTTCTTTTATAACAAAAACATTTTTTTCTTTGCTTAACATTTCAAGTCCACAGGGAAGCCCCTCCTGCTATGTAATGCAGGAAACAAAATGGGAGTGGGAAGGTCATACTTTATTTTCTTCTGCAGGGGGCTCTCCCTGCAAAATTCACATGAAGGCTGGCTGTTGTCTGCTCTCCCGTGACAGGCTACGGTCATGTCTCCATTTCCACACCACACTGAGGGACGGTCAAATGTTCTATTCAAGGCACTCTGCAGACCTACCAGAAGCTTGGTGATGATGTCCTCCCCAGAGCTGTCTTCCTGCAGAGGGCAGATGGTGTGGATGAAGGGCAGGAAGGTGTCTGTGTAGTCAAAGAGGTACAGGTACAGCAGACCAAGTCTGGGGGAGCTCTTGAGGGCGTACAGCAAGAACAGGGATCTGCCTGGGTTCACCGCCTGCAGAGGACAAAGCAAGCACAGGGCCACGTTACAACTGTGGCGGCCAGCTCCCCACCCATGCTCCTTCCAACCTCCCGCTCTCTGCCGTCACTCTTTTTGCACGGTGTGCACAAACAATGCATGGATGAACAGCAAGAAGAAGCCAAGTAATCCACATGCTAGGCTACATTCTACAAATCGGGTGTGGGAGGGGGTGGAGGGGTACAGATGATGTAAGGATGGCCATGAGTTGGTAACCATTGAAACTGACTATCAATACACTTGCCCCTCTATTTTCGTATATATCTGAAATTTTCTATAGTGAAAGATTTAAATAAAAGATACAACTTGTGAAATGGCTGATTCCAGGCCTGGGGTAGGAAAGGTATAAGAGTAACTTAACATTTTGACAAATGAGAAAGGAAACTATCAAAGCCTAATGAGGTCATGTCAAAACGACTCACTAGCAAGTACGTTATACCTCAATTCAAAAGTTAAAGTTTAAAAAATGGACTCAGAAGATAACATGAGGAGACTCCTACTCAAAAAAGGACAATTTGAGCATCAATCAGAATAAGAACTAAAACATGCTGAAACACATCAGGAATGTAAAATCTTCAGTTAACAATCCTAAAGAAAGTAAGTGGCCACCTTCAGAGGACAATAAAATGTCATTATCCTGAAACTGATAAATAAAGGGAAAGAATCAAGTGATTAACCTGCCTTTCCCGTACAGACTGTACTCAGGGTAATTACATGGCTGATGATGGAAAAGCCCCTGTTTTTAAGATGTATTTCAGCTAATAAGTGAAGAAGGAATGAGAGAATTACATCACCATTTTGCAACCCCTAATGAACTAATGGATCTAAACAATGGTCAAAGTGGCTGCTGCCGTCAGAAAAAGAGAGACCATTGATGTTATGAGCCTCTGAATGGAAGAAAACACCAGCACCTAGGAAACAGTCTTGCCAAAACACCAAACCTGAACCAAAGCAAGTCTCTAGATCTAACTGCTAGACTCCCTGATATGCAGGGGACAGAGGGACTGCTAGGGGATACCTCAGAGACAACAGCAAAATTCTAAAATGTGGGAAAACTCTACAGGACAAAATGATCTGGTTTCTTCAACAAATAAATGTGGGAATAACAAAAGAGGGAGGGAGAATCCAGAAACTAAAAGAGACTTAAGAGATATAACAGCCAAATGCAGACCTTGTTTGAATCCTGATTGCAACAAACCACATATCAAAACAATAAAATGAGAAATTTGAAAACTGACAAGTTATTTGATAG